CATGGGTCTATTTGGGTTCTTTTTGTTAGGGGCTCTCTGTGCATCCTGAACTTGTGTGACTTTTTCCTTTACCAGGTTAGGGAAATTTTCTACCATTATTTCTTCAAACACCTTCTCTATTCTTTCTCTTTTCTGGCACACCTACTATTTTAATATTGTTATGTTTTACATTGTCCCACAGCTCCATTAAGCTGTCTTCCTGCTTTTTAATCTTTTTTCTTTTTAGTTCTCTAATTGAGTGATAGTTTCATTTCTGTCTTCTAAATCACTGATTCCATCCTCAGCTTACCTTAATCTGCTGTGTATTCCTTCAAATGTGTTATTTGTGTTAGGTCATTCTTTATCTCAGACTGTTCTTTTTCATAGTTACTGTATCTTTTTTCATACTGTTGAGCATTTTTACCATCATTACTCTGAACTCTGTTTCAGATAAATTTTCTATCTTTGCTTTATTTATTTCTTTTTCTTGATTATTCTCTACTTCTTTCATTTGGAGGTTGTATTTTGTTTCCTCATTTTGGTTGTCTGTTTGGGTTTGTGACTATGTAGTAGGTAGATCCTCTACACTTTCAATCTCTAGTGTAGGACATTGTTAAAAGCTGCTTCTGACTAATTTTATCAGGCAAAGACTCAAAGCCTCCAGAGACCACCTTTGCCTACAAATTAATAGGATTCAGCCCTGAATTGCTCCCAGGTAATCATCCTTAGTTGTAGTGCACACATGTCAAACACAAGGCCCGCGGGCCAAATCCGGCCCGCCAGGCCTTGCAATGTGGCCCGCACCGCGCTGTCATCACTGCACTCCGCTGCGTTCCATCACAATGACGCGTGGTGACATAGGAGGCTTGTGATCTCGCCGGCCGCCATACTTGCTATCTATTACGCATGCGCATAGATAACAAGTCATGCGAGATTCAGGAGGCGTGACCTATAGTCCGGCATCCGATGTGGTTGTGCGGGTGGCAGAGCAGAGGAGAGAGTGAGTGTGCGGGCATAAAAAATACACAGCAGAAGCTGCCAGTTCCTGGCATAAAGTGCAGGCATAAAAATTGCAACAGAATCTGCTATCTGTACCCAGCCAGGCATTTATTGACTGACTTTTTTTTTCTCCACTCCATCTGCCAAATCAAGCTATCCCTGTGCAGTTTTCAACTTTTTCCTTCTAACGCAGATTTCCAATAAACTACATCTTTTACTGCCAATATTGATCCCAAAATGTCCAGGAAAAGAAAAGTTGACGATGAAGGCAGACAATTTAATGACAAATGGGAAAATGAATACATGTTTGTGCTTAGAGAGGGCAAACCAGTGTGTATATTGTGTTATGAGACAGTGTCGGTGATGAAAGAGTACAATATACGTCGTCATTTTGACACCAAACATAATGTTAAGTATGGCAAATATACTTTGGAAGAAAAGCATAAAATTGTTAAAGAACTAAAAGGCAAACTACAATCACAGCAGCAAATGTTTACAAAGGCTACAGCGAAAAATGATGCTGCAGTGAAAGCAAGCTTTATAGTGGCTGAAGAAATTGCCCGTACTTCAAGGTGTTTTTCAGAGGGTGCCTTTTTGAAGCAATGCATGCTAAAAGTGTGTGAGCAAGTATGCCCAGACCAGATACAGAGTTTTCAAAATGTCAGTTTGTCAAGAAACACCATTGCAGATAGAGTTCAAGAACTCTCAGGAAATCTATCATCACAGCTGGCCGAACAGGCATGCAGTTATCTTGCTTTTTCACTTGCTATCGATGAAAGCACAGACAACACTGATACAGCGCAGCTGTCCATCTTTATACGTGCTACGAAGACCGACCTCTCTGTCACTGAGGAACTTTTGGATGTAGCTGCCATGCATGGGACGACGACTGGTAGAGATATATTTGAGGCTATGGAGAAATCTATACATAATTTTAAATTACCCTGGGAAAAGTTGGTGGGGCTAACTACCGATGGCGCACCTTCAATGTGCGGAGAAAAGAAAGGCTTGGTTGGACTAATGAAGGAAAGAATGCAAAAAAGTCACTGCCACACACCCTTGATTACTTATCATTGCATTATCCACCAAGAGGCTATGTGTGGAAAAGTTCTGGACATGAATGACATAATGACCACAGTCATTAAAACTATTAACTTTATACAGGCACGTGGCCTGAATCATCGCCAGTTCCAGCAGTTTTTACAGGAGGTGGGTGCAGAGCATGGAGATGTGCCATACCACACAGAAGTAAGATGGCTGAGCAAGAGCGCAGTCCTCAAAAGATTTTTTGAGCTCAGAGAACAAATTGCTCTTTTCATGGAAAGTAAAGGAAAGCCCTTGCCTGAACTGTCGGATCCCGCCTGGCTATGTGATTTTGCTATGATGTGTGACATATGCGAGCATCTCGCCCAACTGAATCTGAAGCTGCAGGGACGCAAACAAGTCATCACGAAGATGTCTGACATGATCACAGCATTCCAGCGTAAACTTCAACTATGGAAGTCCCAACTGGAACAGGACAATCTTGCCCACTTTCCCGTTGGTTTGAGTATCTCAACCACTATTTCTGGTACTTTTCCTTGCAGTCGGCTGGCTACCAAAGTTAGCCGTTTACTAAGTGAATTTGAGCAGCGCTTCTCTGACTTTAGAACACAGCACTCAGACTTTGACATCTTTGCCAATCCTTTTACAGTTGATGTCAACAATGTGCCCCATCACCTTCAGATGGAGATAATCGAGCTTCAGTCTGACAGTGGCCTGAAATCAAGGTTTCAGGATGTTGAAATTGAGGACTTCTACCCTCTACTGCCCCCTGACTCAATGCCAGAGCTCTGACTTCATGCTGCCCGTATTCTATCCATGTTCGGGAGCACCTATCTTTGTGAATAGATGTTTTCAATAATGAATCTGAACAAAAACAAGCACAGATCACGCATTACCGATGACAACCTCCATGCTGTTTTGCGGGTTGCTACAGCCCAAGAAATAAAACCGAACATTGACTCATTGATCCGGGGAAAACGGTGTCAGACATCTAGCCAGAAAACAAAACAATGAGCATTTTAGGTACATTCCAATATTACTGTTTTGCTTGATACCAATATTACTGTTTTGCTTGATAGCATGTGAGTTGGTTAACAGCACTGTTAAGGAAAAGATTGTTCCACTCATTTTAAATTCACATTTCTGGTTAACATTGTCAGTTTATGACTGTTCAGTAAACCATTCAGCCCGCGATTTAGGCTGGATTTTAGATTTTGGCCCCTTCTCTGATTGTGTTCGACACCCCTATTGTAGTGAGAGTTCAACAGGGTGGGATAGTTGCTTCTGCCTGGAGGCTAATTGTTACTTTTAATCTCTTAAGTGGTCTCAGGGCAAGGTGTGTTCCAATAGGGTGTGTTGACTGTCTTTTCCCCAGGCAAGGCAGTGTCTATGTGGGAAGATGTCCTCTGCTGTGTGAGGGAATGACTTAGCCCAGGAAACTTGGGGGTGTCTGCCTTCTGAGCTCCACCCCCTAAATCCCCAGTACTGGGTTCTGCTCTCACAGCTCCCGTCCACTTCACCCTCCTTCTACCAGAGCACAAGATTGGTGGCTCCACAGGGAATTTTTGTGTATTGGCCCTTCAAGAGGGTGCTTTAACTTTCAGCTGCCACTCCCTGGCAGACAGCACCCCACTGCTTTTCACAGCTAGATGCTATGTGGGTACCTTCCTCAGTTTGGTGCTCTCTTCTGGGGGGTCCAGCTTTGAGATTAGATCCCAGAGTTCTCAGTAGCACCCTGCCCCCCCCCCACACACACACACAGCTGAGATATCTCTCCAGGACTTCAGTTTCTGTCTGTGGGTGCCCAGCCAGCCCTTTTGTGCCTCTGCCCCTCCTACCAGTCTCTATGTGGTCTCCACCTTCAGTTCTTGGATGTCAAGGTTCTCTTCTGTGAGTTTTCCGTTGATTATTTAGGAAGCCTTTCCATATTTCAGTCGCATTTCCAGCTTGTTCCTGGGAGCATGTCCATGCAGCATCCACCTGCTCTACTGCCATTTTTAATCCCTTACATACTATCTTGAATGGTGGGCAGTCCTATCACTTCAACCTCAAGCTCAATGAAGGCATTGGCCACCTTCTTCTGCATCCCCTACAAGACTTAGACCTTAACATTTAGAATAGTTCTTGATTTATAGGCAGGCAGGTTGGAGAGTGAACCTTCCTCCTCTTTCCTCCTTGGTGTTTCCCTCCTTTCCTCTTGCCATCCAAGCCATTTGAAATGTTACTACTGATTCTTGTCAGGTGTCCCTTCCCTCCTTCATCTGTCTGACCAATACAGTGTTCTGCTGTGTGCCAGGTACCAGGGCTGCTTCAGTGAGGGAGAACAGATCTGGCCACTGCTCTCCAGGCATTTATGGTGAATGAGACAGAGAGTTGTTGATCAGAAAGTCTCCTCAATGTGTGCATGATTTAAGAGAAGGGAAGGAACATGGTGCTACAACCCAGAGAGTCAGGGAAGGCCTCCCTGAGGGGTAACTCCTGAGCCGAAGTCTGAAGTGTGAGTGGGATTTGGAGAGCTGAAAGGATGTGCAAGGGTAAAGCATTCAGGAACAGGAAACCGCATGTGGAAAGGCGGCCACCACGCAGCCCCGAGATTTCAGAAGGAGCAGTGTATGATGGGGTCCAGGGCAGATGGTGGGAGGGAGTCAGACCCATTAGGGCCTCTATGATGCTGGCAATTCAGACATGTCAAAGATAAGTCACAGTGCTTATTTTAAGTTGAAAGGTATGTATAAGGAAAACATAGTATCTGTAGGGTTCAGTGCTGTCTATAGGCATCTGCTGGGAATCTTGGGACATGTTCCCACAAATAATGGGAGACTATTATACACCAGAGAATCTTAGTGTTGGAAGGGATGTTAGAGGTCATTTTGTCTAACCTTCCCATTCTTCATGCCTTCCTTCTGTCACTTTGAGTCCTTCCCAGAAACTTCTGGAAGGAGGTCCCTTGGTGAGCATGGATGTATTTGGTTTTTCAGGAGTCGCTCATGATCATGGATATGGCTGAGGCTCTCACCCAGTGGGGACAGCTGAACCCTCCACAGGGAGATGTGCCTGAGAAGCATAGGAATCTGGTCTTGCTGGGTAAGGATGGCTCCTCGGTCCCTGTGAATTTACTCAGTGCGATAGCTTTGCTTCCTCCAAGGAACTCGGAGGTTCTTAGATTAACCAGTTAACTGCCATGATATTTTGAATTTAATTAAAAAAGGTCTGCCACTTGAATCTCTAGATGATTATGGTGTACAAATGGTTAAAAGAGTCTAAATTCCTAAAAGGCCTGAGACATGTAATTTTTGCTTTATGTTTCTGGATATTGTTTTAACACCCCTAGAGTTAAAAATTCATTCCTTTTTATTGAATTTGCCCAGGTGGTAATAGCCTTCTTTTCTGACCAAAGATATTAAGATGAAGTCCTAGTGAAAATACCTCTTAAGAAGTGGGTGCTTATTCTTTTAATAGGGAGAGGTAGAAACAGGGCCTCAGTTGTTCTGAATTGCATCCTGAGCACTGGTGAGGGAGAAATGCAGAACCCACCTCTCCCATAGTGTCTTTCCTAATGACCAAAGAGCTAATCCTGTGCTTTTCACCAGACTTCTTTACTTTCCCCATGAACAGGGCTTCCCATTTCCAAGCCTGATGTAATCTCTCAGTTGGAGTCTGGGGAGAAGCTGGAGAGAGAAGCCTCAAAAGGCACAAATCCAGGTGAGTAAGTGTTGGAAACAGAGAATTTAAAACCCTCCTGGCAAGTGGGAAAAGCATCTTTGAAATGCTTGTGAAGGAGCCTTTCAGATTTTGCTAGACCATAGAAAAGTTGAAGTCCCTTTGCCCCATACCACATTTTATCCTCTATGGATGATGATCTGTTATAAATTCATAATTTTTTATTTTAGAAAGCAAATACTTTCTACTCTTTTAAACCAACCCCCCCCTCCACAATAAGGTTAAATGAAAGTAGCATTTTAATGTATATTAATAATTTGCAAGGCTCTAAACCAGGCTTTTCATGTATGTTATTTTACTTCTGAGGGTAATGTGACTTTTTGTCTAACAGCAATGGCTATAAATTGATCTGTGAGTTTTGCCTTGCCTTCTCAATTTAAGCAGAAGCAGCATAGCATGTGGTATGAGTCCAGATTTTGGACCCAGTCTCCCCAGGTCCAAAGCCAAAATCTCAGCTACTCAAGCTCAGTGACCTATAATAAGTTAATTATCTTTTTAGCTGGAAATCCATTTGCTTATAACCTGTATCTACCTACTTGTCCTTTAAAATCTCAGGCACTTCCATAATTAGGATATGTAGTTGAGAACATTTGATCATATTGATTTATTGTATATACCATCATGGTTGGAATGGATATTAAAGATTTTAAGCCTGGAAATGTTTAAACATTTTTAGCAGTGAAGCTTCCCCTCCCTTCCCCCAAACCCTTACTAGAAAGCCTAGGATTTGGGGGCAGCAATTCTGACAGGATGGGGACCAATCTGAGCATGTGGGGATTTGATCTTCTCCTCTCTAATGCTATTCATTAAAAACAAACAAACAAACACTTAGTTTTATTTTACTCTTTGCAGTTTGTTGGGTAAGGGGAAGTCAGAGAATAACCAATTGCTTATGAATTGTGATGATTTGAATTGGTAGATTTTTTTTAAAGTATGTTTTTATTGATATTAGAGAGAAAGGGAGAGGGAGAGAGAAATATGGATGTGAAAGAAAAACAGTAATTGGCTGCCTCCTGCATCCTCCCTACTGGGGATTGAGCCTACAAGTCGAGCATGTGCCCTTGACCGGAATTGAACCTGGACCCTTCAGTCTGCAGGCCAGTGCTCTGTCCACTGAGACAGACTGGCTAGGGTGAATTTGTAGATCTTGACCATTTTGAATGCTAGTAACTAGAATATGTGTCTCATCTCGAGACAGAACTAACAGGTTTTTGTGTGAGAGTGGTAGTTTTGGAAGGTTAGTCTGTTAGCATTGAGTGGGATATTTTGGAATGGGAAAAGATTGGCAGAAGGAGATCAGCTAAGGATGGTCATTCTCAAGGTGTGAGTTGATAATGCCATGGTGTGGTGCTGGCAGTTGGCAGTCTCTGGGAAACTATATTTCTCTGATCCCAACCCTGTTTCCCCAGACAGTGGTTTTTGTTTGTTTGTTTTTTCACCTCTTCTTAGTATTGCCATTAATTTTTCTCATTTCCTAGCCACTGGACAGAGGAATTGTGAATGCCTACTCACCCTCTCCCTGTATGCAGTTGTACTTCTTTGCCCAGTAATCTTTCTTCCCTCACATTCTCTTAAGATTGCAAGCCTGTTTTGAGAGCTTTTAAATTCATGTGTTCCTATCAGCATTTTTTGTTTGTTTTACTATTTTCCCACCACAGTAATTACCTTACTTTCAGTTTAGGAAATGATACGTGTCCATTTTTGTTTCTGTTAGACTGGGAGATAAAACCAGAAGGCAAAGAGTTAACTCAAGAACAGGATGTTTCTGAAGAAAAGTCATCCCCTGGGATGTTAATTGAAAGATTTCCAAAGGAAGGTGACAGTGGATGTGAGGATTCTCTAGAGAGTCAGCAGGAAAACCACGAGAAACATTTAATACAAGAAGTTGTCAGTCAGAAGAAATCTGGAGAGAGAAGTTACCAGTGTGATGAATTTGGAAGAAATTTTGGCCGGAGGTCATTACTTGTTCAACAGCAAGGAGAAAGACTACGTAACTGTGATTTGTTGAAAAAGAACCTAAAACAAAATTCAGATCTAATGAGGCATAAGAGAATTTGTGCAGGGAAAAAACCCTGGAAGTGTAATGAGTGTGAGAAAGCCTTTAGTTACTACTCAGCTTTTGTTTTGCATCAGAGAATTCACACAGGAGAAAAGCCCTATGAGTGTAATGAGTGTGGCAAAGCCTTTAGCCAGAGCATACACCTTACTCTCCACCAGAGGATTCATACCGGAGAAAAGCCCTACAAATGTCACGAATGTGGGAAAGCCTTTAGTCACCGCTCAGCCCTTATTCGGCATCACATAATTCACACTGGAGAGAAACCCTATGAATGCAATGAATGTGGGAAAGCCTTTAATCAGAGCTCATATCTCACTCAACATCAGCGAATTCACACTGGGGAGAAACCTTATGAGTGTAATGAATGTGGGAAGGCCTTTAGCCAAAGCACATTTCTTACCCAGCATCAGGTTATTCACACTGGAGAGAAACCCTATAAGTGTAATGAATGTGGAAAAGCTTTTAGTGATCGTTCAGGCCTCATCCAGCACCAGAGAACTCATACTGGGGAAAGGCCTTATGAGTGTAATGAATGTGGGAAAGCCTTTGGCTACTGTTCAGCCCTGACTCAACATCAGAGAACTCACACAGGGGAGAAACCCTATAAATGCAATGATTGTGCCAAAGCCTTCTGTGACCGCTCAGCCCTCATCCGTCACCAAAGAACACATACTGGAGAGAAACCTTACAAGTGTAATGATTGTGGGAAAGCCTTCAGCCAGAGTTCATCTCTCACAAAGCACCAGAAAACTCACACTGGAGAAAAACCTTATATGTGTAAGGAATGTGGAAAAGCCTTCAGCCAGAGTTCATCCCTTTCTCAACATCAGAAAACTCATGCTGAAGGGAAAACCAAAGAATATGGAAAAGTTTTTAGTGAGCATTTAGAATTTGGCCAGCAAAATAGAATTCATAATGGTTAAAGACTGTACATTTTTTTCCTGGATGTGACTAATCATTCTTGAGGGGGAAATTGTTGATTGAGATAACTACTCAGATGATTACTCACACCCAGGGAAAAATGAGGCTTGTGAGTTAGCCAGTCACAAAGTTCCCATGAGAGCAGCTTCCCCTGAATCCACAGAACATTGGCCTGGCAGTTCACTTTTGTGCTTTGTGTCTTTTAGACCTTGCTTATTTAGATATCTACTGAAAATCACGTTAATTACCCTGGTCAGACCTGTAGCCTAGAAAGGGGTAGTACAGAAGAGTCTTTGATGTTTTCTGTCTGTTTCAAGCTGAGTTTCTTGACAATGTGCTTATTTATAAAGATTTACCTTCATTGTATGTAGTTTGTACTTTAGACTTTTTCATACCATAGTAAAATTTAGTTCTAGGCCTGAACTGACACTGAATATTAGGTTGTGAAAATTTGAAAAGACTTTGAAATACTTGCCTTTCACCATTTTATTCTTGGGTAGAGGAAGATGATATGTTTGAATTGAAACTTTGAAGGTTATTGCTAAAATGTTTTGAGTGCTGTTTTTAGTTTTCACATTTGACTAAGATGTTTCTTTGTGTGGATTTCTTTGAATTTATCCTGTTTGCTGAGCTTGAATCTGTAGGTTTATGTCTTTTGCTAAATTGGGGGAATTTTCAGTTATCATTAAATACATTTTCAGCCTCCATTCCCACACCTTCTCTCCTTCCAGGATACTGAAACAAATGTTAGGACTTTGCTTGTAATATCACAGGTTCCTGAAACTCTGTTTATTGTTTTTCACTATATATTTATCATAATCTCCTCAGGCTGTCATTAAAATAAAATTTCATAGACTAGTTGGTTCAAACAACAGAAGTTTATTTCTCAGAATTATGGAGGCTGGAAGCCCACGGCTTCAGTCTCTGGTGCTGGATCTCTTCCTGGCTTTCTTGCCTGCTGTATCCTTGCATGGCCTTTCCTTGATGTATGCCTGTGGAAAGAGGCAAGATCTCTCTTCCTTTAAAGGCCACCAGTCCTATCAGATTAGGACCCTAACCTTATGACCTCATTTAACATTAATTACCTCCAAAAAATCTTTCCTCCAAATACTGTCACATTTGGAAATAGCATTCAACAAGAATTTGGGAGGGACACAATTCATAGCATTTGCCCCTGGCCCCCCAAATTCATGTTCTCACATGCCAAATATATTCATTTCATTCCAACAACTCTCAAAGTCTTAACTTATGCTGGCATCAACTCTAACGTCCACAGTTTCACCAACATATCACGTAAAGTAGGTATGAGTGAGACTCAAGGTATATTTCATCCTGAGGCAGATTCGTCTTCAGCTGTGAACTTGTGAAACCAGACCAATAGTGGGGCAGGCACAGGACAGATGTTGCACTATAAAAGGGGAAGGAAGGAAAATGAAGGAAGGAAGGGAGGGAGGGAAAGAGGGAAGGAAAGGGAAGGAATGAAGGAAGGAAGGAAAGAAGGAAGGAAGGAAGAAGTAAAAAGGTCCCAAGCAATTCCAAAACCCAGAGGGGCAATTCCATCAGATCTTTATGCCTTACCTTCCAGATTCACTGAAGCAGGGGTTCCACCTTCACAATTCTCTGCTTCAGTAGTCCTGCCACTGAGACTGGTCTGGGCAGTCCTACCCCCCAAAGCTTCAGTGTTAGGCCATGTGGCCTGTTGACACTTCAGTGTATCCCCACCTGTTGGAACTAAAGAGGTAGCCTGAGGGTCTCTGAATCTATTCAGTCATTCTTTCCTTGCAGCATAGGGCTCTGCTATATGGTCCTGTAGGATCTAAGAAGTCTGACAGCCTGACTTCATCTTGTCTAGTGTTTTCTGTCCCCTTTAGTACCAACTGGCAGTGTTTCTGATGGTTTAATCCCATCTCTATTCCTGGCTTCTACTGAGATGGTTGATTAAACCCACGAGTCACACCCAGGATCTCTATAAATGACCCTTCAGCCACAGCTATTCTCATTTTGCAATGGGGATAGACAGAATTTTCCAAATCTCCAAGTTCTTTTTCCTTTTTTGCTTAACAATTGTTTCTTCAATTCACCTCTCTCCTCTCACATTTTACTATAAACAGGTAGACCCAAGCCGCACCTTTAATATTTTGCCTACAAATCTGCTGAATACCCAGTTTCATTGCTCCCAAGTTCTCTCTTCCACAAAACAGTGGAACACCATTCAGCCAAGGATGCTGCCACTTTACAAGGTGAATTGCCTTTCTTCCTGTTTCCATTTCTGTCTGACACCTCATCAGATTGGCCTTTAATACACCGTAAAACCCTTTCAGCCTCCAACCGTTACCCAATTCCAAAGCTACTTTAACATGGTTAGGTATTTGGTATAGCAGCACCCAAATCTGCCTTAGTCTTGTTGGGCTGTCATACTACAGACTGGGGGCTCAAACAACAGATATGTATTTCTTACAAATCTGGATACTGGAAGTTTTTGAGAGCAAGGTACCAGCTGATTTAGTTTTGGTGTTCCTGGCTTACACACAGCCACCCTACTACTGTGCCCTCATAGCCCTTTCTCAGGACATATGTGTAGAGAGAGAGAGAGAGAGAGAGAGCAAGTGCTCTTTTCTTAGAGGACACCAACCCTCTCAGATTAGGACCCACAGTTATGAACTTTTAAAATCTTTTATATATATATATATATATATATATATATATATATATATATATATATATATATAATTTTTTACAGAGAGGGAGGGAGAGAAATAGAGAGTTAGAAACATTGATGAGAGAGAAACATCGACCAGCTGCCTCCTGCACAACCCCCACTGGAGATGTGTCCGCAACCAATGTACATGCCCTTGACCCGAATCGAACCTGGGACCCCTCAGTCCACAGACCGATGCTCTATCACTGAGCCAAACCAGTCAGGGCCATAGCAATTTTTTTCTTGTTCTGGTTGGGTGCTTTTTATTCTATCTCCAAGTTCACCAATTCTTTCTTCTGTCCCTTCCATTCTGCTGGTGAGCCCGTCACTAACTTTTGTTATTATACTTTTCAGTCCCATTTGATTGTCTATTCTGTTTCTTTGCCGACATTTTCTGTTTTTAAATTTGGACAATTATGTTTGTAATTGCTTACTGGGGTATTTTTATGGTAGCTGTTATTCTAACATCTGGGTTAACTCAGTGTTGGCATCTGTGGATTGTCTTCTCATTCAAGATGAGTGATTTTCAGTGGAAATCTGGACATTTTGGGCATTATGTTAGAAGACTATACTGTTTAAATCTATTTGGGCTGGCCTCTGCCATTGCCCTGGAGGATGAAGTGTTTGGAAGTTGGTGTTGGAAGTCCATCATTGGCCTCTACTACTAAAGTATTTGGGTAGGAGTATAAGTTATAGCTCCCCAGTAAGGCTCCACTGATACCACCTAGCTGGGAGGGCCAGGAGTGTCTCATTAGTGCTCCTACCCACTGACACCATGTGCCAGCATTGGGTGGGGAGTGACCTCATGATTTGTTGGGAGTCCTGACCCTCCAATGTCCAAAACAGTAAAAAGGGAGAGATGTCTGGTTTCTGGGTAGGGTTAGAAGCCTGGTCTCCCCATATGGTTTCCATTGATACTGCTGGAGTGGGATGGGGAGTTTTTTGTTTGTTTGTTTGTTTTAGATCCTGTCTCTTCACTTGACCTTCTTTGACTCTACTCCAGGGTGGGAATTACAGCCTGGTGAGGGTGGAAGTGTAGGCACCCCACTTGGCCTTTGATGGTGTGGATAGGGCTGAATTTTTTCCTATGACTTTTGGCTGGAGGAGGGTGGTTATTGTGTAAAAAATTTGTCTTGTGAGTATACTCCTTTCTTAGTCCTTTGGCTGAAAAGAGAAGACTTCTCTTGTACCTTTTTTAGTCTGTATCTGTGGCATTTCTGGGTTGCCAGCTTCCTCAGAACCCAGCCTGGGAGAGAGGAGGCAAGAGGAAAACTCAAGGGACTCTGTGCTGTCATTCTTCAGGTCCCTGTACCCCAGTAGCCTGTATCCTCAGAACTTCTTACACTGTTTTATAGATGGTGTCCAGGGTTTTAGCTGTGCTTAGAGGAAGAGGGATGAGTACTCCTCCCCTTTCTCATGATGTCCTTCCTTTTGATACATAAGTGATATGTCAAGTTGTGTCAGAGGTTGTGGTGTACCTAGGTTGTTTGTAACCAGTCAGGATTAACTAACAAGAGGGACACTCACTTGTTCCCCAGAGAGGAGCTGCGAAGTTGGTAGATAGAAACCACCAGGCTTCAAGCTTCATCCAGCTTTGAACAAACTATAGTTTTTAAGTGGAGAGAACACCAGTGTTATTTATTTTATTTTGTTATTATTATTATTATTATTATTATTATTTAAAAAATATATTTTATTGATTTTTTACAGAGAGGAAGAGAGAGGGATAGAGAGTTAGAAACATCAATGAGAGAGAATCATCGATCAGGTGCCTCTTGCACACCCCCTACCGGTAATGTGCCCGCAACCAAGGTACATGCCCTTGATTGGAATCGAACCTGGGACCTTTCAGTCCGCAGGCCAACACTCTATCCACTGAGCCGGTTTCGGCTGTTATTATTATTTTTAACCTCCCTCGAGGACATTTTTCTATTGAAAAACATTTTTTTTTTTTTTTTTTTTTTAAAGAGAAAGTGGGAAGGAAGGAGAGAGACAGGGAACAAAACATCAATATGAGGGAGATATATTAATTGGTTGCCTCCTGCATGCCTGCTACTGACTGGAATAGAACCTGGGACCCTTCAGTTCATGGGCCAATGCACTATCCACTGACCCAAACCAGGGAAGATACCAGTGTTATTTTTTTTAATCCTCACCCCAAGATATGCTTATTGATTTTAGAGAAAGAGGAAGGAAGATTAAAAGAAACATCGATTCGAAAGAGAGCACTGATTAACCTTCTATTCATTCCCTGACTGCAGGTCAGGCCTGCAAACTACGTTTGTTCCCTGTCTGGGAACTGAACCCACAACCTTTCAGTCTACCGGACAACCAACAGCCACTCTGGCCAGGGTAGCTAGTGTTTAATTGTAGATTACAAGTTTGAGAAGGAAAGATAGAAATGACTAAGAACATAAGCTATGGAATTAGACATTTTTATTTGTCTCTGTTCCAAGAACATGTGGGAACCATTGAAGAACTGAATTCAGAATTTTGTTTTTTTAAGTTATGTATTATCTCTAGCTAGACATCTGTCATTTTTAATTTGACATATAACACAGGACATCAGAGAATCAACAAAATAAAGAATAAAGATTGGAATTTGGGATAAATCACCCTTTTTAAAAAATGGGTTTCTTCATTTATGTTTTAAAACATGTGATACCTTCTTGAGAGTGACTAGATTAGATAGATAATAGATACAAAGTGATTTGTAAGGCATCAAGTGCTAAGTAACCATTATGTATTATATATGGAGTCCTTTATGTATGCTTTCTGCTGGTATAACCCAATAAAAATGATTACAAATACAATATAATGTTTTTTTTTATCTTTTGAAAAATATTTTTTCTTAAACACCAGTTAAATCCCCATCTTTTGAGATGATCGTATGGTTTTCTTTAATCTGTTAATATAGTAAATTGCATAAAAGATTTTTGAGTTATTTCTTTTTTTTTTTAAGTGAAATTTATTGGGGTAACTGGTTAAAAAGATCATGTAGGTTTCAAGCACATTTCTATCGTGACTTGTGTATTGCATTTTGTGCCCACCATCTGACTCAAATCATTTTCTGTCACCATATATTTGGCCCTCTTTATTATATATATAAAATGGTACCCTTTATTCTCCCTTCAAGGATTTCCTAATGTTAAAGAATACTTGCATTCCTGGGATTTATCCAATTTAGTAACTTCCTCATCCTGGAAAAGTTTATGTTCCTTGAATACTTTAGTTGCAGTCACCTGGTAAACTGGATTATTGTGTGATGTGAATTTTGATTGGTTTTAGAGGGTATTCAGATTTCCTATTTTTGAAACAAATTTTAAAGTTAAGTTTTTAAAAAAATATATTTTTTATTGCCATTCAAAATATGTTTTTTTTATTTTTATTTAATAAGTTTTTATTGTTTATATTATTACAAATGTTCCTTTCCCTCCCTCCCCCACCATTGCTCTCCTCCACCAGGTTCCCACCCCACCCTCTGACCTTTCCCCTCTCCCCATTATCCTTATCCATAGGTGCACAGTTTATGTTCAGTCTCTTCCCATGACCCCCTCTCCCCTTTTCTCCAAGAATCGTCAGTTCACTCCCCTTCCATACCTCTGATTCTATTATATTCAACAGTTAATATTGTTTATCAGATTTTTTTTTTAATTTCCTTGGTTTTTAGATTCACTTGTTGATAGTTACGTATTTGTTGTTCATAATTTTTATCTTTGTTTACTTTCTCTTCTGAAAGAACCCCCTTCAGCAATTCATATAATTCTGGTTTGGCGGTGATGAACTCCTTTAGCTTTTTTTTATTAGTGAAGCTCTTTATCTGGCCTTCGATTCTGAGTGATAGCTTTGCTGGGTAGATTATTTTTGGCTGTAGGTGCTTGCTATTCATCATCTTGAATATTTCTTGCCATTCCCTTCTAGCCTGCATGGTTTCTGTTGAGAAGTCAGCTGACAATCATATAGGTGCTCCTTTATAGGTTACTACCTTCTTTGCTCTTGCTTCTTTTAATATTCTCTCTTTGTCTTTTGCTCTTGGAATTTTAATAATGATGTGTCTTGGTGTGGTCCTCTTTGGATTCCTTTTGTTTGGAGTTCTGTGCGCTTCCTGGACTTGTAAGTCTAATTCTTTCACCAGGTGGGGGAAGTTTTCTGTCACTATTTCTTTCAGTATGTTTTCGATATCTTGCTCTCTCTCATCTTCTGGGACCCCTATAATTCTGATGTTGGTTTGCTTGAAGTTGTCCCAGAGGTTTCTTACATTATCTTCAATTTTCTGGATTCTCTTGCCTTCTAGCTTCTGTGGAGGAGTGTCTTCTGGCTCTTTATGTTCCAAATCTTTGACTTGATTCTTGTGATCTTCCCTTCTGTTTTTAGGACTCTGTAAAATATTTTTTATTTCAGACAATGTATTCTTTATTTCTTGTTGATCCCTTATCATTTCTTGTTGTCTCCTTATTAATTCTAGTTGATCTCTTTTCATATCCTCATAGGCCTTATCCATCTTTTCTAGGAAATTCTTGAAAAACCTTATAAGCGTAGATTTGAACTCTATATCCAGACGCTTTTTGTCCTCCATTTCTTTTGTTTGTGATCTATTTTGTTGTCGCATTTCGCAGTTACAGATGGGACGGGGTTTCAGGGTGGAGCCTGCAGCTTTGGCTTCTGTCAGCCCTGCCCTATGCGGGTCCTTCAGTGCTCGCTGCCGGCGCCTCTGAGAGAAAGGTGCCCTCGATTTTCGCCTGCTGCCAAACAGTCTATGCTCTCCCCCAATGAGCCTGGTATTGGGGTTCAGTTCAGTTGGAAGTGGAGTTGGAGGTGGCATTCAGAGCAGTCTGGAGCCCCAGTCTCCTTCCCGTCAGGGCAATCCCACAGCACAGCCGACCGTCCCTTCTCTGCGCACAGTGTCCGCGCCTCCGGGACCTCCTTTCGCCTCTCCCAGGGGTTCCGCCTTACAGCCCGGCTCCCTATGGCTG